TGAGTCAATGTTAGTCAGACTATTACACAGTGGGGACTGCTGTTGTTTATATTGGTCATCCTTCGGGAGCAATAATTTTATCCTTACCCACTGAGGAATAACGATGGGAAAGATTTTCAAATTACTTTTTTTCCTGTACTTAACAAAATAGAATTAAGCTCCACACTATTTGTAAGTTCCTTTAATACTGGTTCCAGAATCATCTTTTCTTTTTTAGATTTGTTTTTAATTTTTTAAATTTGTGTGTGTGTGTGTATGTGTGTGTGTGTGTGTGTGTGTGTCTGTGTGTGTCTGTGTCTGTGTCTGTGTGTCTGTGCATGTATATGAATGTGGGTGCCTAGGAGGTCAAAAGAGGGCTTCAGCTACTCTGGGGCTAGAGTTACAGTGAGTGTGAGCTGCCCAACTGGGTGCTAGGGTCCAAATTCCAGACTCCAGTCCTCTGAAAGAGCAGCAAGCACTTTTGACCATTGAGCCATCTCTCTAGCCCCCAGAATCACCTGTTCCCTGGCAGGATTCTAAGAACTCTCCCTACCACCCTGTCTACTATCATCTTTAGGAATCAGATGCTGGCTGGACATAACCTGCCCTCTCTCCCTCTTCTCCTTCACAACATGGGATGCCATTGTCCTACACATAACTTGGGTATTAGTAGAGAAACTTGCTTCTGTCCTCTCAGGGTTCTGGCTGTTTTGAGACTTAAATGACATGAGACAGATTATGGAGAAAGCATAGTCCAAGTTTTACATAAAGAAATGAAGGTATTAGTCAGTTAGGTGTGTGCTGACTTAGACACAGAATAGTGAACTGAAAATGTGATTAAATGATGTGGGAGGCTTAAGAGATAAGGGTTATTTTAACTAGATTTGTATGGAATTCTCTCCATCTAGACTTCTTGTCCTTGAGGATAAAGATGTGGCTTTTCTTTCTAGTATAGAGACAGCAACTTTCACACTGGAATTCCATCTTCCACTTTGGAGAAACAGCATGAGGGGCAAAGTGGTCTTGTACCTACTATTTTTCAGATACCTTTAACTTAAGCAGTTAGTCTTCCTGAACAGTGTGCCTTCCTCCTTCACCTGATGAGCATGTCTTCTCCATCCTCCCTCTCTCATTCCTCTCTTCCTGCTGCACTCCACCCTCTACTGAGAAACCAACCAAGATCACAGGACTCAGAAAATAGTGACCCCTAAGTACTCTACTGTGGTATGCTGAGTACTTTGAATAGAAGGACAAGTGTAAGAGCCCCAGAAGTGAGGTGTATCTGAAGTCCTGCTTTCTCCCCTAAGACAGGCCAGTGGAATAGAAATCCTCTTCTCCAAGGAAGGTCATAGAAATCAGAGCTCCTTCCCCGAAGGCAGCCAGAAAACTTAAAAACGTTGTTCTAATGTTCCCTGTGTTTCTGTATGGCTTACCCATAAAGAACTGATCTGGCCTACCTTGTCTGATAGTAAATTACACAATGCTCATTCTAGGGCAGCCTGACTCAGACTTTCTGGGAAGAGATGCTACATCAGAGGAACTGAGAAGAATCCTAGTAGACAGGCTTCTCTGGTTTCCTCACTTAGTCTGTTTTCCGTTTTGTCTAGCCAGAGTTTTACACTGCTGTCCTTGCTTCACTAATTCTAAGCATGAGAGTGGACAGATGTCTCTGTCTTTGGGTTTTCATTCTGAAGGCTCCTGAGCCATATAGAACTTTAAATAAGTTGCTTATGTCTTTCTCTTGTGGACCTGTCTTTTCTTACAGAAGTATCTTCTGTGGCTCTTATAGATAAGGGCTGGGCTGCTTGAAAACTGGATGGCTCTTGGGGGTAGGGCTCTCATTTCTCAGATTCTACCATTTTGTTACCAGATGGAGTATGGACATGGAATGATTAGAAATTCTGATTTTTGAATTAAAATTAATTTAAAGGCAGTGTCTCATACTGTAGTCCAGGCTAGCCTGGAACTCACCATATAGCCCAAGCTTCCCTCCAAATGCGTGGCAATTTTCTTGCCTTAGCCTTCCAAGTGCTGGAATTACAGGTATAAGACATTGTGCCCAGCTTAAGAACAGAGTTTAAATAATTTTCATGCAACTTTTGTGATTTTTAATGCTTTAGGTGGGCTGAAAACTATTGTAAGTGTCCAAGTTTTAGTCCTGTCCCCTTCTAAACCTGTGTCGATAGCTGAAATTGGCTCAGGGTCTAGTGCTGAAGACTTAATCAGAAGGACTCCTGCGGCAGAGCTACATACACTACCAGAGTGTGGTGTACTACCGGTATCCTGCCAGAAGGTTCCTTCATGGCCTTCCTCAACATGACCCAGAGGGACACAGGAGAGACACTATGACCTGGATGGATGGAGTATAAATTGTGTGTGCTGAGGAAGAGTGGAGGCAGAGCTAAATAGTGTCAATTTTGGTATGGACTCTAGGAGTGGGAATTTGGAATGTTTTTTCATGGAAAATGTATACAATGAAACATAGACTATGTGCTGTTTTATTCTCTCATCTGTGTCCTTAGTTTAAAAGGTTTTAAGAAGCTGGAGAGGTGACTCAGCAGTTAAGAGAACTGGCTGCTCTTGCAGAGGACCTGGGTTCAGTTCTCAGCACCCACATGATGACTAACAACCATCTGTAACTCTAATTCTAGGGGATCTGATGCCCTCCTCTCACCTTTGTGGGTATTGCACAACATAGCTACACTTACATATAGTATGTATATGAAGGCAAGATATTCATACACATAAAATTTTTTTAAAGTTTTTTAATTAAAGAAAAGTTTTTAAGGACTAAGTGCACACCTTTAATGCCAGCCCTGGGGAGGCAGAGATAGGTATCTGTGAGTTCTAGGCCAGCCTGGTATACATGGTGAGTTCCAGGCCTGCCATGACTACACAGTGAGAGACCCCATCTCAAAACAAACAACCAACCAAAAACGGTTTCAAAGTAGTTACATTGATATTTAACAATGTTTTAAACATTTAATTTGAGGAAAAATGTGTTTCCAAATATCTGAACTCCAAATAAGCTTTCGGGTCTATTTGGGGTATCAGTATGGGCACTCCATACAGATACAGAGTTTATAACAGACTGGCAAAGGGGTATATGTATCATTTGGAATAATTTATTGACAGTGAAGAATGAAATGAGAGCCTCTCCTCTGTTTTTAGCCTTCTCCCGTAACTTTATGATTTAAGTGCCTCCAATACTCTAATAGAATTGTGTGCATGTTCTTGGGTTGAAACCATTGTCTCTTTGAGGGTTTAACTCACTGGGAAATTCTGCCGAGGATAGTACAGGGAATGCCGGCAGAGAGGCTTAGTGAACAGAAAGGCTGGGTTGGAATACCACAGATGCTGAACACTACAAATTAGCATAAGAGAAAAGACAGGATCTACAGATCATACTTCTTGGTTTCTGGGAATTAAGTTAGCCTTATATTTATTTGGTTCTACATCAAAGACTAACAAAGCACAGTGTTTTCTCAAAAAAATATATAAATATGTAAACTCCTCTTTGTTTTCAGCGAAAGTATCCACTGGTACATACCCACCTTGTAGTGGGGAGGTTGCCAGTAAGAAACCACTCATTAATTAGTATGGACTTGGGCAAATCATATAACCTTACAAGCCTCAGATAACTCATCTGTAAAATAGATTTAACATAGGATGGTTTGAGTATTAAATGAGAGAAAGTAGCTAAATTACTATCAGAGTACCTACTACGTAAAAACATTTAATAATGGTGCTATTGTTGATATTATTTGTTTGTCTCAGAGCCTTCTTTGCCATTCTAGATCTTTGTCTTTTTTTTAAGTCTTTTGTTTTTTTAAATATATTTATTGAGACATTTATATAGCACAAAATTCACTCTAAGTATATAGTTCATCAAGAAATTGAAGACATGTCCATTTATGACCTCAATCTAATTTTAAAACATCTTATCACCCTTGAGAGAAATTTGTACCTTTTTAGTAGTCACTCATCATCCCCCTTCCAGAATTCCCTATAGCCCCAGACAACCATAACCTACTTTCTGCCTCCATAGGGCTGTCTATTCTGTATATTCATATCAGTGCATTTACACAGCTGTGGTCCTTGAGGTTGACTCTTTTCACATATTTTCAAAGCCTGTCTATGTTGTAGCACCCCACTTATTTTGTTGGCATATCATACTGCCAAACATGCTCTGCATTTCATTTATCCATTCATCAATTTGTGCACATTTGGGTTTTTCTACTTTTTTGGTATTATGACTAATACAATGACATTTTGTAGGCATTTTACATGCATGTATGCTTTCATTTTTCTCTGGGAATGGAAATTCGGAGTCACATTATGGTAGCTGTGTTTAGCAGTTTCAAAAACTTCAAACTGATTTTTCAGTGTCCTCTGTATATCATTTATATACAAGAGAGGATTCTAATTTTTCCATATCCTCGTCAGCATTATTGCTAGTTTTCCCTTTTAAAAACTGTAAGCATCAGGGCTGGTGAGATGGCTCAGTGGTTAAGAATACTGGCTGTTCTTGCAGAGGACCTGAGTTTGAATCCAAGCACCCACATAGGGGCTAACAACCATCTATAACTCCAGTTCCAGGGGAATCTGATGCTCTCTTCTGACCTCCACGGGCATTGCACGACACAGCGAAGATAATACACTCATACACATAAAATAAAAATAATAAATAAAATGTTAAATAAATAAATAAATTGTAAGCACTCTATGGATATGCAGAAATATCTCACTGTGGTTCTGGATGACTAATGAGGGAACTCATCATGTGGTTATGGACATTTGTATATCTTTTTTGGAGAAATATTCAAATTCTTTGTATTTAGTTTGGTTGTCTTTTATTATTGAGTTGTTTATAAATACAGGATAGGAGTTCTTTATCACAGATATGATTTGTAGATATTTTTAGTGTACTCTTGTAGGTTGCCTTGATGTTATTTATATGAGGTGATAAATCTCAACTGTCTCATTGTTCTATATTTAAAGCTTTCATGCTCTCTTTCCAGCCTCTATTCCTCTACCTTGCTCTCCAGTCTGTCCATGATCCGCTTCAGGTCCCTGAGGAATACCTGAAGCCATATGACTTTATCAAAGATAAGCACAGACATATCTATGCGGGGATGGTGTCCAGTATGGATGAAGCAGTGGGAAATGTCACTGCAGCCTTAAAAAGCCATGGGCTCTGGAACAACACGGTGTTCATCTTCTCCACAGGTAAGTCAGCCAGTAGGAAACGCCTCTTTGGCAAAGCCTAGGACATGGCATTCAGTGAGTAGAATGAAGACAAATTGGAACAGTTAGTGCTTCCTTATTAAAATAAATGCAAATTGCAACAATGGAGACACAACCACAGTGGACAGATGTGATTAAGGAGACAGAATTACATGCCTTTCCTCCATCTGTATTTCAAAATATATGGGAATGTACCTTCCCATATACTGAAGACCAGTGCTCACCAAGTAAATTAGTGACCGTCACACATCCACAGGGTAGGATCCTGAGTGGTTTTCCATTCTCTGCAGCCCAGCAGCCATCTATGACTACCACTGCCCCCAACTGAGGGTCTTTGTTAGCAGTGCAGAGATAGAAACATTAGAAGACAGATAGGAGAAGGAGCCAGTTCAACTTTGGCTAGAGTCCCCAAGCATAGATTTTTTTTTTTTTTGTATTAAAAATGTTTTCTTACAGTAAAAGTCATACCTGTTCATTACAGAAAAAAAATAAAACAGAAAAGGCATAAAGAAAATTCAAAAATTTCAGCACTTGGAGAGGACTTTTGAAAATCATTTTCATTAGGGAAATACCTTTTTGATTGCTAATCATATATATATGTATATATATGCCTCCCCATCCCATTAGAAAGTTTATATTTATATAAAATGTACATATATATATGATCTCCCCTCCCCATTAGAAAAAGCACATATGTGTGTGTTTGTGTGCGTGTGTGTGTGTGTGATCTGCCCCCATTAGGAACAGTTTGTATTAATTTATTATACATTAATTATATTATATATTAACATTTAATTATTGTCTTGAGTATTCATGAAACACTTCTAAAATTTTTTATTGATTTGAGAATTGTATACAGTGTATTTTGGTCATATTCAGATTCCTTTCCCCCCTCCCCCTGACTTACTACCCATCCCCAACATGTCCTATATTAGTATTTTTTAAATGGCTTATCTCATCTAATCTGTGTTTCCCAAATGTTCTGGTCAACCTACCAAGCATCACATCAGTAAGGAAAACTGACTCAGGAAATATTTTCTATATGAAAATGCAGGACCTTTTCTGGTGGAAAATTTTCTTGAACTATTGATTTTGGAATTGTGTAGCCTTCTACCCTACCTCTTTCTTTATAGAATTCTTGTTATTTGGTACTAGATCAATTTTATTTAAAAAATTTATTTATTATTTTTATTTTATGTGTATGAGTGTATTGCCTACATGTATGTGAGTGCATTCATATCATGCAGTGCCCACAGAGATCAAAAGAGGGCAATTGATAAACTGGAAATGGAGTTACAGACCGTAGTTAGCCACCATATGAGTGCTGGGAATCAAACCCAGGTCCTCTGCAAGAGCAACCAGTGCCCTTAACCACTGAGCCATCTCTCCAGCCTCTAGATAATTTTCTAATATTCTTAAATTTTTTTTTCTCCTGTTTTCTTTGTATTTCTTTTACTGTTTGGAACATTCATCAGCATTTTCTAAACTTTGTGTTGAATTTATCTTTAAATTGATTTGTTTCAATCACCAGATTTTTTTTTAATTACTAAGAATTCTTCTTTCCTGACAATTCCTTTATTGTGTGAAGTTTTGTGTTTTACTTTATAGATATAGAAAATTGTTCTTCCAAAGCCTGTGCTTTAACATATGTGTACATACTTGATTATAGGTACATTTATATGCATATATGCATATTTTTGGTTTTCTATATTCCCAACGTCTCTTTTTTAAGTTTTTCTTTGTTGTTTTCAATATGTTTATGTCTTTGTTTTAGTCTCTCTTTCAAGTGAGTGAATTTTTCAAAGAACCAACAATTTAATTGCAGGGCTTAACATTTAGTGAGTTTTACTGTAAAGTAGCTGTGCTGCGCTGAGGAGACAGGCCGAGGGACAAGCAAGACAGTAATCTTGCTGTTCTTGAAGTTGTTCTACTGAGAGTTGTTTTGCTTTGTTTTTAATTAAGTATAGTTATCAATTTAGCATTTTGGGGGGCACATACTATGTACAGAACAATTTTAAGTGCTTTACATGATTAGTTCAACTGATCCTCACCATAACTCATTCTCTCAAGACTGTTACCCCATCTTGCAGATGTGAGAACTGAAACATAGAGAAGTTATTAATTTGCCAAAGGTTACACAGCCACAGTCATCTGTGCCTGGCTTCAGTGCCATCTTGCTTTAGAGGCAGTGATCTGTTTGTTTGTCTGAGACAAGGTCTCCTCACTATGTAGCCTAGGCTGTTCTGAATTCACAATCCTCCTGCCTTAGCCTCTTGCTGCGATTACAGCTATTCATCATTGTGCCTAAGGAATTGATGATCTTGATGTTCTCCTTGAACTCCCGATACAGCAAATCTGTTTCCATTGTGGGCTGCATGGTGATGTACTCAGAGCAAGGAAGGGTCCAGAGTGGGTTAAGGTGTTGAACTGAGGGGCTTGCTTATACTTGCTTATACTGCTTATACTTGCTTATACTGCATGTATGTAAGTGCACTCATGTCATGCATTGCCCACAGAGATCAGAAGAGGGCAATGGATACCCTGGAAATGGAGTTACAGACCATAGTTAGCCACCATGTAGGTGCTGGGAATCGAACTGGGCCATCCTCTGCAAGAGCAGTCAGTACTCTTAATCGCTGAACCATCTCTCCAGCCCCCAAATGCTATAATTTTCTAAGTGTTCCCTGTTATGATAAAGGTTAAATGTAAGATGAAAGTTTTTTTCACAAAACTATCATTAAGGAAAAAAGGAAGGTATATGGAATTCCTTACAAGATCTCTCATAATCTGGGAGTCGGTCTAAATTTGCTTGATTCAAAAAGCCTGGTATAGCATTTTGTTGTTTTTGTCTATGCTGGTACTGAAGGCCTATAGCGGTCTCTAGAAAGAATTAATTAAAAAGAGACCGGGATGCTTAACACTGATTTAATAATTACACCTGGAAAATAACCTCACAATGACAAAGATTGGAGACTATATTAAAAGAAAAATATTTTGTTCTAACGATCACGCTTACACAATTTCTGGACAAATGATTTCCTGAATTGAAAATCCGTATGGATTCATATATTATTCATGAGCTAAAAAGTGCTGAGAAATGAAGACAGTATTTCTAGGAGACTGTTAGATACCTTAAACTGGCTCTTGTAATAATCAAGGTGCTGCTGTCAGGAATGCCTGATAAGAGAAGGCAGATTAAACTTTTTTTCATGATATGATGAGAATGAAAAAAATATTTTGGCATCAATTTTTTGTTATATGACTTCAAATACGTATAACTAGAATTTAAAATAGTTAACTTGTTCATAAACAATTAACATCTCATTCATTTTAGTTGTCAAAAATATTTGAAACTTCTCACTGAGAAAATGGGGATTACTTTATACTTGGGCTGTCTTACCTCCTGATGCTGTGATATGTTAACGATACCTTTAGTCATCTTTGCTTGGTTGGACTGCATCCAGCTTGACTGTATCTGTATATTCTTATGATGCTCCTGAGTACAGTTTACTTGAGTTTTATTTAGGATTTTTATACCAATTCAGAAGTGAGAGGGGTTGGTTTCCTTTTTCTCTGTCAAATTTTGTTTTGGTTAAATTCATGTGATAAAATAATTTGTGTGGTTTTCCCATCTCTTTCTAGAATGTTTACAAGATCTCTCCAGCTAAGCTGCTCCCTGAAACCTTCCTTGGAGGCACTTGAAACGTTGTCCCCGTAGTTTAAATTTTTTGCTTAATTATATATAGATAGGAGTCTTTACAGTGATCCTTTTGATTTATACCTTGAGATTATTCTTCTCTGTAGGAAGTTTTCTGTGTTCATACTTTAACTTACTGCTTTTGTTCTGCTTGATTTATTTTTAAAAAATCTTCAATTAATAGGTTGAATCATTGACTCAACTTTTTTCTTACCCTCTTTTGACTTTCTGTCCTTTACCCCAGTCTCCAAAGCTCCTCTGGATTACCAGTTGGACAGTTTTATCATTTAAATTCCGTTCTTTAGTATCCCCAGTGGAGATTACTCTGATTGTATTTTTAATGTCTTTGCAGTCCTTCTTCGCTTGGCCTCGTCAGTGGCCTTTTCCATTAAGCTTCCTGGTAACAGTGACTACTGTTTGTTAAGTCTTGACTGCATACCCAGACCCTGCTTGTGTTTCTTTCTGCTTGCCGTATACTTGTACTTGCTTATAATGCAAACTCAAAAGCTCAAGTTTCCCTTGTGAGATAGTTCCCAACACCCATTTTATCAAAGCCACCAAAACGTCAAAAAGCTAAGAGATTTGCTACACATCAGACAAATGGGTGACCGGAATTCAAACTCAGACCTACTGGAGGTTGGTATCTAATTACTGCTCAATTGCTCTTTGCAGCATCTCTTCTCATCTCACAGTTTCTCTCTCTCTCTCTCTCTCTCTCTCTCTCTCTCTCTCTCTCTCTCTCTCATCTCTGTCTTGGTTTTCTTCACATTTATTCTCAGATCCAACCTTTCCCCAAATCCATCTGAATAGAACTTCTCTAAGAATCTTCATTCTTCTGCTGAATCATTGCCAGCTGAATCCTCTTCCTCTGAATATAAACCATGAAAGATGTATCTACACAGAGCGTGAGGGCATCTCCTGCCTGCGGCCACTGTCCCCTGGCTAACTCCTCACATCTGTGACTTGAGGTCAGGTTGATGCTCACAGCTGGCTGATTCCCCATGCCTTTCAGGCAGGAAGTGTGCTACACTTTGCAGAAGCTATTTCCTGGTTATATTTTCTTCCCTTCTGACTTCCTGGTTCTTTGACAGGTTAAAAGTACTCCTCCCACCCTCACCCCCACCCCCGGGTGCAGTGACCCAGCTCTCCCCAGCTCCATCCTGTCAGGGCTTTACTTTTGGACATACCCCAGGAGACCATGCACTTTGCTGCCCAGCCCTTCTTTCCTCCTGCCCCTTGCCTTCTAGAAGCATTTATGACCTCTAACAACACATAGAAAGGTAAA